GTATAGGCTGTTACAATGTATACTAAATAGTACAGAGGTTAAGCAGTAATTTATTAATATTTCAGGTTCATGTAAAAATGAACCTGCTGATAGTGATTATTATGGTTGTTGTCTTTTGTACAGGCGACAAATTGACTTTTCCATCTTTCAGGGATCCTTCCATACGCTGTGCTGTGAAGAATTTCTTGCCTTTTGTGAACCACATGTTGAATTTTGCAGCAACAAAACCAATCAGGTGTAAAAGCCAGTTTATTAGCACATCATTTACACCATAAAGCCACACAGACCATGGCCTCTGCCGTTTCCCTGTTCCAGACGTAAAATTGATAATCTCCTCAAAGATTCATTCATTCTTCGGAAACACCGTGGCTAGCATGTGGCTGGAGTTATTATTTAGACAGGGGTGACAGGGAAATAATTGCTTTTGCCTTGATTTAATTACACGTTTTGTGGCAAGGACTATGGAAAGGTTTCTGTTGGATGAAATTATGTAGGTTGTCAGAAACGGTTTCTGCACTCATACTTTTTGTCACTCTTGACTGTGTGCCACCTGTTTCTTAGTGGTTCAATTAATTATTGGGCTGCCCTCTTGTGGTTATTTGGATTGTGTGTGTCATCCACAGTTTAAATGCAGTTGCTACCGCATACAATAACTTGACATCCCCCTTTAATTAAAACATATTTCGGAGAACATAGCGTACAGAAAAATGCTTGCATGCTTTTTTTGTTATACATGCACAGTAAAATATGGTACTCTACTAGATCACTCAGGCACAGTATTATTCTTTAAAATATTGTTGCTTTAACAAAAGTGTATATTTTTTCCCTACAACTGCAAAATGAAATATATTGCTAAAAACAGATTTTGCAATCTCGAAACCAGTACAGGGTCCTATACTATACAGTACATGATGCTGGTTGATGGGATTCTCTTATTAAAGACCTCAGCTAATATAATTATAGAAATACTGTACAGTAGTTCCTTAAACCTTGGGCATTTTTTCTCTTCTTTTTGCCTAATAAAACCATTTGCCTTCATTTTTTTATTTTTCAGCCTATTGCATTCCTAAAAGAAGCATCTTTTTACCACCATGATCTGTTTATCTTTTCTATTAACTTTGTTAAAATCATTTATTCATTCCAATCTGCAATGCTTGGACAACAATTAATGACAACAAAAATATTTGTGTAATTAAATATCAATAATTGTAGCCTGTTAAACCTTTTTTTTTAAAAAAAATCTTTCACTATCGCATTGCAAAAATATATTAAATCTACTTTAAGTCTAAGCTTGGAAGTACAGCAGGCGTGGAGCAGAATAAAGAAAACAACTGTAAAATTTGTAAAACAATACAGTGTATGCTATAAACAGTATACAGTATACTATACATCGTGGTTGACCTGCTTTTCGTGTTATATTAGCTCAGATCTTTAGTTTTAGAAATACAGCAGTTACTTAAACCTTGGCCATATTTTCACTTCTTTTTTCTTAATATAACTGTTTGCCTTCATTTTTTTATTTTTCAAGCCTGTAACATTCCTGAAAGAAACATCTTTTTGCCACTCACAAAAATAACCGTTATCTGTTCATCTTTTGCATTAACTTTGTTAAAATCATTTTATTTATTCCAGGCTGCAATGCTTGGAAGTATAGCAGGCATGGAGCAGAATGCTGGTTTCAGGTTTCTGTCTGGGCTCCAGGTTGTATAATGCCTCTCAAATTACTAAAGATCGATCTCAGAGATTGATATTCAAGAGGATAAAGTTTGAATGGGGAGCTTATGGGAAGATATTGCCTCTCAGTTGACATCATTCTCTCCCAAAATAGATGCAAGCGTTGTGTCTCCTTATTGCATAGATCAACCTTTGTAGAGAGGGTGGCAAGAATAGAAATATACAGTATAGAGATCTATTTATTTTTATTCTGCACAGCGAATATTTTGCTCTGAATTATATACAGGAGACTTTTGATTTAAGAATGAATACATTTTATCAGTCAATAACAAATGTGACTTTTTACATATCACTAAAAATATATTCTCGTTTATTTTGTCCTGTGACACACAAATTTCATATTTAGTTCTACGAAGGGTTAAGTGTATTAGTATTAGTGTATATGTGGGAGAGGCTGGCAATGAAAACAGAGAACCAAAACATTAAGCCATTGTGGTGCACAAAAGGCATTGCTGTAAATTCAACAACACCTGCTTTGAATGCACAACAAGTTTTTTTTTTTAATTCACTTCAGGACTAAAGTAACAAAATATCTTCAAGCTCACCACTCCATTTGTTGTATAAATAGCTTGAGTTAAATGACCTGATCCTGCACGGTTGTAATGTACAGTATGTGTGGGCAAGAGCAATGTGTTAAAGCCTTTTGTTAAAGGTGTTTTCATTTTTCTACACAAGATGAAATATTCAGGCCTGGGAGATGGAGGGCGTGCAGGGAATGGCTGGTGATTGTACTGTAGTTTTGTAGATTTGCCCCCTCCTTTAGCTCTGGGTCAGATCGACTTTCACTGACAGAAAAGCAGCCTGCGTTTCCTTCAATTGCACTCTGCGACTCTACCTCTGGGAATGCAGTTCCATGTACTAGAAGCTACAGTCTCTATATCTGACAATAATGAGGCACAGATGAGCGGAGTAATGTTTCACAGGACCATGTAAATTGCTTCATATAATAAAGCCAGAAACAAGATGTAACATTTTTTTCCCCCTTTTTCAGCCTCAACAGCTTATTGGTTACATAGAACTCACAGTATCACAGTCTTATGTCACTGGCAGAAACATTGCCAATAAATTGCAAAGTCCAAAAACAAAGCCTACCTAGTTACTAATAATCCCATTAATGATGCAATTAATTATGAGTTTACAGCAAAGCGTAAGGTCCTCGTTTAATAAGTGTTATCATCAGTATTTTCTTGAAATTCCACAAGCTAATTAACAGAAATCTAATCCAATTATTTCATATTTCTGTAATTGATGTCATGAAACAACAACAGAAAGAAAGAAAAAAACTAACAAAAGGATAATGAGCAACAAAGTGTTGATATTATTTAACTGTGGACTTATTAATCAGGCTTTACAACAAGGGTGAGGTTTGTCAATATTTTCCAAGCAAATTCAATGCTTTGATCATGATGACATGGAGAAGTCATGAAAAAATCTTAATATTTGCTGTCTTATATGCAGCAGGTTTTATCTTTATTTTTTATTTCAGGTTTTCAAGCTGCATCATGTCTTGCTTTTAAAAACAAAATTTGCCCTTAAATTTGAAATTCAATTTGAAGATTGAAGTACTGTATACAGTATATTTATAGAATTGATAGTGAGCTGAATGTATTCTGACCCCATAGTAAATGTCTCATCCCTTATTTGTGACAGCCTCCTTAGGCATTTCATGGAACAAACTGAGAATACCACTAACTTATTCATTCAATGTGTAGCATTACCCAAGGCACCGATAGAGAAACATCTGTAATATACCGTACAGTAACTTACGGAAGGTGGCTTATTCCATTTGTTGTGTTAGATAGCATAAACATACCGTAACTGACAACTTAAAGAGTAGATTTAATATATTTTTGCAATGCAATGGTGAATGATTTTGAAAAAAAGGTTTAACAGGCTACAATTATTGGTATTTAATTGCACAACTATTTTTGTTGTCATTAATGGTTTGCCTGTTTACTCATGGCTGCAAAAGGAAAATAAAGGCAAAAGTGTAATTGCTATTGGAAAATAAATGCAAAAGGAATTGATTTCATTGTAAATGATAACCAAAGTCTCCCTATTGACAGCTGATTTAGCGAGGCCTTATCCTGAATGAATGCCAAGGCTTTTTTCAGCTCAGCATGTTTCCAGATCAATAACTATCAACGATTTGAAATTAAACCGAGATTAAATCCCAATTTTAGCACTCAGTGTCACGTTTGGAGAGTTTCTCACTTAATTAGATTACTCTAACCAAAGAGCATTAGGATTGTTCCATTATCTTTATCTACCTCAGAGTAACACTGAAAGTCACCCAGAAAAGTAATGCCCAGCTTGGTTGTGTTGCTCCATCTGAAAGTAGCTGGAAAATATTTTGAAACTTTAAGTACAAACTCCATAGCTAGAAAAGTTTAGGTATTCAGGTCCATACCATTAAAAAAGCAAGATTTTGTTGCATTAATAATCATTTGTTGTGGAGTGTCCTGAGCCAAACAATATCTGATTTACTGTTTATTGTCACCACAAGAATTCACTATAGTATCTCTTTCATTATGGCTGTACATAATGCCAGTTGAAAAAACATTACCTGACTAGTTTACACCGATCGAACATTTTTGTTCTTCCTGTTTTTCCCCCCTTATTTATTTTCCACTGATCTTTAGTCTCTGTGATTTAATAAATTAGACAATCAAGTTCAATTAATGTACTGCATATACTGTATGCAAGCACCCAACCCTAGGTCTAACACAACTGAGATTTTCAGTGCTAGTGGTAGAAGTACTAGTGAATTACAAATAATAATGGAACAGAAACTGATTTTCTAAGACCTCAAGTGTTTAACTCGCTATGTGTTGTACGGTGAGTTAAAATGTGGGGCCATACTTGGATAAGTATGAAACATACTGGAGGGGCCCTGTAAGAAGAAGAACGGCCCGGGTGCGACTGCATGAGCTCAACCACTTGCAGCTCCGCTATTAGTCTATAAATATTTTCCTGCCCTTTCTCTACGTGTCTTTCCTTCTGATGACGGATCCGTAACGTGTACGTTAAGATTGCATGTTGTGTAGCTCAGCTCTTTGGTTCACTCGCGCTATCTGATTTGTGGCGAAAGCCTTGAGGTTCCTTCTGTGCAGGCACGGAGCTCATCGCAAACAGCAAAATATGTGGCCTGTACTGAATACTGAAGTGAGAGTCACGCCATGACGAGATCAAATCATCCCTTAGGACCCCTAAGCCTGCTAACACTAAGTCAATGCACAAACGCATTAGTGAATATGCAGTAGTACCTTGTACGATTAGGTGGACTCTTGATGCCTTGGGTTTGTTGTTGGTCAGAATGGTGCACACGTAAGGCCCCTCGTCATACACGTCCACGTCTTTGATTTTGATGCTGTACTCGGTCAAGGTGTTGTTCAGCAGAACCACGCGGGGGTCTGTGGACCACTTGTCCACTCCTGCAAACAGTATCGTGGAGCGGTTCAGCCAAGCCACCCTTGTCACTCTGTTGTCCAGGGTACACCTGCAAGGAAAAAGGAAGGGACATGCTTGACGATGGGACAGGGGATCGTTGCTTAGTAAGCGCTGCACAGCAGTGGTTGTTGCCTTATTTAAACGACACATTTAGGGAAAACCGTTGGAGAGCTCTTGACTCGGTACCACATGGCAAACGAAAAGCGGTATTGTGGTACCAGGCGCAAGGTTCAGCACTGCCTGTCACAGTCAGGTCGTGGCATCTGGGTCATAGATCTCAGATCATAGATCTCATAGATCTCAGCCTGTGCTCGTCTGCCAGTCATTAGGCCCGTTCGGGAGCTCTTTCTTGTTGCCTCACTGTTTTGCCCTTCTGTGGGAATAAGGTCCTGCTCTGTAAGGCACATGTACAGGGGAGTGACAGGGCACATGCTGGTAAGAGTCTCTTTATTATTTGTGTTTATTTGAATGGCAGAAAAATAAGATTTGCTGGATTAAACGAATTACAGTTACTGTTGATTATTGTCCAATTTCTTGTATTTAACTGCCATTTACCATACAAGCTGTGGATTGTAACTAGATGCTTGAACTTTTTCACATCTGGCCTCGGGCTCCTTTCTCCAACTACTGTATTTGATTTAAGAAAGCCAGCCTCAGATGTGTCAAACCAGCACCGCCACCGTTGCTCAGAGTGAAATATTCCTCCTAGTGACAACCTGGGTCTTGCTGACTCTTTTCAGATAAGAGCAATGCATACAATTCTTAAATTAAACAGTGGATGAATGCACTATGGTTGCCCCTAAAAACAATTTCTTCATGAAAAGCAAAATAAAAAAAGCCAGGACAACATCATTGCAATCAATCAAACCTGAAAATTCCACACAGACATCAGAACTTTAAAAAGCATGTATACCGTGATGGGAACAGTGGAGATCTCTTCCAAGTTTCTCGGGAGAGAATTTTCTAATAAACTAGTAGTGATTGATATTCTAGGCAGAACACGGATACTGACCCTGCGTCTTGCCTTCATTCGATCATGCTTCAATAAAAAAAAATTATAATACAGTCAAATGTTATTACTGCAGCCTCTGTACAAATATCTGGGGCACAGAAGGCTATATATTGTATAATGCAAAATGAGATAAAATATCTAAGAATAGTTGGAAATTTGAAAATGGTGCATTACAGTTTCATTCAATTCTCCTCTGTTTTTGTATGCAATGGAAAGAGGGTATTAACAATGCTCAAATGACTTTCAAATGTAATTCTTTAAAATTGTGCCTCAAAAGCCTCAAGGAGTATTATTTTTTTGGTTCCAAAATTATTAACTGTAAGTACAGGTCATTAAGTGTAGGCGTATATATATATATAAAAAATAATATGACGTGTCTTGCCACTTTTATCACATAAAACTGCCAAAGGAGATGGAGATCACATAAAACTGCCACAGGAGATGGAGCAACATTTGCATTCCCATTCGTTTTCTAGGCAGGAGTAGCTGTTGCTTGAGGATGACACATGTAGTGCTGGGGGAATGACCTCTGCTCTACCAAAACAAACACCACCACTCCCTTTCCTTTTGGCTTTCAGCCTTCCTGCTTACTGTTGTGGCCCACAGGACAGAGTATGATGTATAATACTAATGCTTTGCCTCCGCGGACCTCTCCCTTCAGAGCCTACCTGTTGAAATAATGCAAACAAGGCACTGCATGATAAGTTCATTGGTTGCAAGACAGGGCTCAGTGCTGGGGAATAATGGCAAGTCAATCTTACTCCTGTTTTAGTGTATATTCCTTCAGCTGAAGGGGAGAGGAAGCAATTAACATTCCTTCACAGTCTCCTGTCACAAGAAGAGATATTTTACTAAAGCATGGTCTGTCGGTGGAGACGGATATATAATTTTTATTCTCTGTGCGTGTGTAATACCTTTTGGGTGCCTTGTTAATGTGCGCTAAGTAATTTGCCTGGGTACTTAACTGCTCTCGCAATTAGGCTTACTTCACTTCTTACTGTTTTATTCTGATGCAAGTTACAAAGTCTAACTCTAATATCTTTTGCCCATGCTTTGAAGTTGTGTTCCCAAATTGAAATGGCAGGTATCTACCACACAAAGAATTTAATAAAATAAAAAAGCAGTGCTCTTCATTCCCTGTTTGAGCCTTGTTCATTATCCCTGCAGCGTACTGTATATAACTGTCTTTTTGCCCTTCCTCCGCTTATAAATTAAAATTCTTCCTTGATGGCTTCTGCTGAAGGTCCTCAGTGTTAATAGAAGACTTAGTTTTGTTCCCACAATTCTCTACACATAAAAAAAATCCTGTAGTTCCCTTTATTTAAATGTAGAAATGAAAATCAGTTGTATGTAGAGGTTTTCAGGAGCAAGGCTGGTTTGAAGTACCATTCAAAGTATGCAGTATATTTCTGTTGTTTTTTAATGGCCTGCAAAATTGGCTTCTGAAGCACATTCTTGCAGTAGTTTTCTCCAGGAAATTTTCAAACCACAAGTTCCAAAGCTGAACTCTTTGACCTGTCTGCACTATTGAAAGGTTAGCAATGCTGGAATTTAGCATGTTTGCATACACACAAACACTTAAGGTTTAACCGAAAATGTTCCAAATTACAGAACATTTTGCACAGTATGGTATTATCATGTGCAGTAAACATAATTCTCTTGTGCACAACATGCTATTATTGTTTTTTGTTAATAGACATCTGCTTGTGAAATTAGTTTTTAATTCTAAAGTACATACAGATATAAATCTACACATACAGATTCAGATTTACCAAGTCAAACAAAAAAAAAATCCTCTTTTCCAGCTCTGTGCTGCAAGGCAGAAGACAAAACACAGATACTGTTTTAATCACTGGAGGGCACTTGACAAGCACATTGCATGGTGAAAAGTAAAAGGCCAAAGCACCAAATAAAACACCAGGGAGGACTGAAAAGACATATAGCACAATGATCAAAACCATGACCCTCTCTGACACTAGAAATAAATGGTTATGATTTCTGCTGCCTGTTCTAGAGTGTCCACACAGCTGACAAAGGAGCTGCTCTGCCCATTTTCCTCTGAGGTTATGGTTTGGCAGAAAAGGGAAAGTGGAGGGTGTTTTTCCCTGGTAGGTGCCACTTAAAGACAGCAGGGTTCCCAGTGTAAACAGCTGAAGTCTGCTGAAGCCTCCTCACCATTATCACTAAAGGTACCAGAAAAGATCAAATGGATCTGTTCCCCAACTGCTGACTTATCTAAAAAAAATTTGCATTGCTGAGATATACTTTAATTAACGGCATCAGAACTGAAAGGGAGAAAGGAAATAATCTTTTCAGCTGATTAGCAAATCTTGCGTTTCAAGTATGTTGCTTTTTTGTACAGTGATATTAAATATTTAGAGGCTGAGTTCCTTATAAAAGTTTAAAAATGAACCCTTAAAAAAAGAAAGGCAAAAGCAACCTTGAAACTAGATTTATTGATGTGTAGTCATTGTTACATAACTGTAGGTGTTTAGTTGTTGAAAACAATTTTACTGCAAGATGCCATTATTTGGTGTCACAGCTTGAAGTCTGATTCTTGGTGTCTGTATGTTTAATAAATTGAATTCCCACTGCTCTAGATCTTCTGACTAAGACAGCAGCTCATTATTTGGTTTGGTCACAATAATCGCCTTGATTGTAATTTAGGAGAAAGAGAAGAATGCTTAAGGTACAGTTCACTTGTACTATTAAAGGTGATTAAGTGTTTTCAGATGACTTGCAAAAATCTTCTCAGAAAACGTAAGCCTTAAGAACACATACAAATATTTTCTTACATTTATATAACACTTTTCATCAAATTTATTCTCCAGAATACCTGTTTCAGATAAACTGTAATATTCAATGAGGCATAAACACAAGTTCTATAAAATGGAAATGCTGAAATGCTTCAAAACTGACTCACAGACCTAGATGGTTTATGTTGATGCAAATAGAGGATTCTATGGTTGGAAATCTTACTGCATTTGTAGTTTTACTGAGCGCTTGCCACTGGAGTGCTCCTCTTCCTCTTTTCCAGATCCTTTAGTATCATGAGAACATCAGAAAGTTTAAAAGAGGAGGAGGGGACCTTTCAGTTCATCTGCCTTGTCCGCTTGTTTCATTGTTCCACAGCAGCAGTGACATTTGACATTTCAGGGAAATTAGTGGAGGAGCTGAGTCTGCTGCATAGCACCAGCATTGGCAAAATAATCCTCCAAGCTCCTCACACCTTGAAACGCTGACAATTTATTTATTAGATAAGCTACATGTTTATCTCCTGTAGATCCACACCTGCTTGTGATTTTCTCCAGATATACATGCAGGATAACTCATGGAGCTGAGTGGTTGGATTCCATGCCTGCAGCCATCTTGCACACAAGGTGTGTAAGGAAAGCGAACTGCATTATTTTATAAGCCCTCCGAAATGCCAACACATGCTGTACATGTAAACATAGGGCAAGACAGGATGTGGTCACTGCAACTCAAATGCTAGGTGGAAAAGGACGTTTGTATCATAGGCATAGGACACATCTCTTATTAACCATTATTTCCTCTTTCACCCTGAATATTTTAGTTTATATGAACCCATCTGGCCCCTTCTGGTGTTATTGCTTTTGTCTGTGGCACCTTCAATCAAGAGGAGTTTGACATCCAGGTACAAGTGTTAAGGTGTCCTGGGAACAGAATAGGAATTGTTACAGATAGTGCGGCCCCAGCTGTTCTGTTTTGCCAAATGCATTTCTATACACTGAACAGAAAGGGTTTCAAAGATTTAATAGAGATTTTAAATGGAAAAATTATATAGCAGAAAAAAAATCTATTTAGGCATGGGGGAACAGTGTATAAATCCAATCTGGCTGTCTGTGAAATTCAAATAATTACTATATTTATTCCTCAAATGACTGAATTCTGACCTTTCAGAAAAAAAAAATGTTGTTTCATTCAGCAACAAAATCTGTTTCTGGTGCTCTGGGGTCCTATTAATGTAGCTTCCATCTACATTTACTCTATGGGTTCTTCACTGGCTCTAGCTATTA